GGGTGTGGTGTTTTTTTTTTATTTTAATTTTTTTAAATGTTTATTTTATTTTTGAGAGGGAGAGAGAGAGAGAGACCCAGAATCCGAAGCAGGCTCCAGGCTCTGAGCTGTCAGCACAGAGCCCAATGCGGGGCCCAAATCCACAAACCGCGAGATCATGATCTGAGCCAAAGTCAGACGCTTAACCTACTGAGCCACCTAGGAGCCCCTGTGGGGTTTTTTTGTTTTTAAAGACAACCCTATGCCTAGCATCATTCCCATTTTTTTCCAGTGGGAAAAGGAAGGGACAGTGAGGGTAGGTGGCCTGTCCAAGAACACACAGCTAGAGTAAATGGAACAGTTAGGAATCAAACTCAGGGAGGCCAGCTCCAGATCGCGGCCCCTCACTGCTCTGCTGTAACGGTCCCTGGGCTGACCTTCGGGCCTTACCACAGGATGACCCTGGATCCGTTCTTATCTCCTGAGCCTCAATTTCCTCATCTCTAAGATGGACCAGTGACCATCTCTTGCAGAGTTAAATGAGATGAGACATGTGGCATGTTTTGAGCAGTGCTTAGCACGTGGCCCTCGCTGCTGTCACGTCGGGGGCCTTGAGTGGTTACTGGATACGTGTTGTGGGCCCAACACTATGCTAGGTCTTTGGGGTGAAAGAGAATAGCATCTGCCCTCCAGGGCTCAAGGTCTAAGGGAGGTTGGACCGTACATGTTTGGGCGAATGCCTACACCCAGAGGTGCAGTGGAAAGACTGTTACGGGGAGTTCAGAGAGCCTGGCCTAACCTGACCCTGCCTGAAGTCAAGGGAGGAGGTCCTCAGGCTGAAGGCAGTACCTAGGTGGCCCTCTTGCAGGACAGCCACCCCCCGCATCGGCGACGTGATCCAGAAACTGGCCCCGTTCCTGAAGATGTACAGTGAGTATGTCAAGAACTTTGAGCGAGCCGCCGAGCTTCTGGCCACCTGGACTGACAAGTCTGCACCCTTCCAGGAGGTGATCACCCGCATCCAGGTGAGGTTGGGTGAGGGGCGGGACAGAGCCTGCATTGCCATCCCCCAGTGTGCACGGGCTCAGTCTCCCTGAGTGACTCTGGCCACCTCCAGGCTCAGCTGTTTGCACACGCTCCGGCATTAGTCGGCCCTGCCCACGCTCGTGGCCCTTGGGGCAGCCTGCCCCCCACCCCTGTTCTCGCCTCCACTCTTCCTCTCCCCATCTCTTCCCCAAGAGCAGCGAGGCCTCCGGCAGCCTGACTCTGCAGCACCACATGCTGGAACCTGTGCAGAGAATCCCACGCTACGAGCTGCTGCTCAAGGAATACATCCAGAAGCTGCCAGCCCAGGCCCCAGACCGGGCAGATGCTCAGAGTGAGGACACCCGTCCCCCCCAGAAATCCAGGGAGCTGGGGAGGCCTGAGCGACTCCCATTTATTTATTGAACACCTGCTAACATGCTTGGAATGACTATCAGCTATCAGGCACTTCTTAGACATTATCTCTACCATTAACCTTTTTTTGGTAGACATCAGGCCAAGAGAGATCAAGTGACTTGCCCAAGGTCACACAGCCAGAAAGGGGCAGGGGTGGCATTTTTTTTTAATTTTTTTAATGTTTTTTATTTATTTTTGAGACAGAGAGAGAAAGAGCACAAGCAGGGGTGGGGCAGAGAGAGAGAGAGCAAGACACAGAATCCAAAGCAGGCTCCAGGCTCCAAGCCACCAGCACAGAGCACAACGCGGGGCCCAAACCCACAAACCGTGAGATCATGACCTGAGCCAAAGTTGGACGCTCAACCGACTGAGCCACCCAGGCGCCCCCAGGGGTGGCATCTGAAGCTATGCCTGTATTATGCCAAAACCCATGGTCTTTCCAAAGCACCCTCTGGGTCTGGCTTGGTTTGGCCAGCAGTGAGAGTCACAGACGCCTAAGCCCTGTCTTCAGTGGCGTCCACTCTCTCCACTCTGGGTGGGAAATGGCCCCCATGATCCAAACATCTCATGTGCCAGGCTACACAGTCAAGGCTGCTCCTATGGTTACTCATGGCAGTCCCCCTAGGCCACTTTGTTAAGCCTCAAGGACTTCCTGCCTCAGCCCCCAGCCCCAGATTTTCAGGAGATAACGCTGGCCCTGCGTCCCCCTTCAGAAGCGCTCGACATGATCTTCTCAGCCGCTCAGCACTCCAACTCAGCCATCACTGAGATGGTGAGCTGCCAGCCCTCGTGGGCGGGGGTGGGCGTGGGGCCCTGTACCGCAGGCCTCTGCGGGGGCCCTGTACCTCCTTCCTGCAGCTCTCAGCCTCCCCCAGCCCACCCAGGTCTCTATCTGCTCATCCCCTGATCCTACCCCATGACACCTGGCCCTCTGCTGTCCTCCCCTTCACATCCCGTCCCTGTCCACACAAGGCAAACCTTCCAGAAGCAGGTGGGCCCTGCCCGGCTTTGGCTGAGGGTGCACCCCCTGTCCCAGGAGCGGCTACAGGACCTGTGGGAAGTGTACCAGCGCCTGGGCCTCGAGGATGACATAGTAGACCCCTCCAACACGTTGCTCCGTGAAGGCCCTGTCCTCAAGATCTCCTTTCGCCGCAGCGACCCCATGGAGCGCTACCTTTTCTTGGTAGGGGATGGTGGGGGGCCCATCCCGCATGGGGAGGGAAGTCCGGGGGCCACACTGCCCCAGGTCCTGCCTGCCTGGTGTCTACCGGCACCTCAGGAGAAACAGGGAAGAGCCCGCCTCTCTGTCCTTCCCTGATTTGGCATCCAGGTGATTTGGGACAGGTCCCTTGCTGCCTCTAGGCCTCAGGGATTTCCGACTGAGGGGTTTCCCAGACAGGCCCTGGGAAGCAACAGAGTCAGATTTTGAACCCAGACTGTTTGGCTCCCAACTCTGAGGTGTTAATCTGTGCTCTAGGGAATGCGTAGCAGGAAGGAATTAGGTTACTGTTAAGAACTGCCCAGATTTGCACTGAAGAAGCCAGGGGGTCTCCTGGAAATCTGGAAACTGGCCCTGCCCGGAGGTCTGGAGGAGGGAGCCCTCGCCACCCTGAGCCTCCATTAGAAAGTCCTTGTGAGTTTGATGCCCACAGATATGGCGGCCCTTCAGTGACAGTCCTAGGTGGATTAGGGGCCAGACCACCCCTTCATCATCACACCTGTGACTCCCGTGAGTAGCCCAGAGTGTGGCGAGAGGAGAGGGAGACACAGTGGTGCCCCGCCCACCCCCAGGGAAGCCCTGCCCTACCACCCTTCCTGCCCCGCCACTGCGCACGCGCTCACCGTTTGTGTCTCCTGCAGTTCAACAACATGCTGCTGTACTGTGTGCCCAAGGTCATCCAGGTGGGCGCCCACTTCCAGGTGAGGACCCGCATCGACGTGGCCGGGATGAAGGTGAGTGAGAGGCACCCCAACCACCGTCAGGCTTCATCCCAGAGGTGGATTGAGTATGGGGAGTAGCAGGAGGGACCACGCTGTGTTCTCAACCCAGGAACCCTAATCTGGTAGGTCCTGGGCCACCGTGGAGGTGGAAAAGTTTGGGGTTGGAGGTCTCCCCTGTGGGCTCCCGTAGGCCTGGCCCACTCTTTGGGGCAGTGCCCCCCACCCCGTCCTGGCCTCGCTCTGCTTTCCCTACCCTCTACAACAGTGCTTTGAAAACTTTAATACATGCATGAGTCCCCTGGGAGTGTTGTTAAAATGCAGGTCCGGATTTAGTAGGTCTGGGGCAGGGCCCAAGATTCAGCATCACCCCCGGGTGATGCTTCTGCTGCAGGTCCGCAGGCCAGATTTGGAGTTGTAAGGGTCTACACTGTCAGCTCAGCTGCTGGATCGTGTCATGTCCCCATCCAGAGGTGGCCACAAATGAGCGAGGAGGGCAGCCCATAACATTGCCCCATGGATTGGGCGCTGCATCATCCCATCAGATTCTCCCGGGATCCCTGCAGTGTAGGGACTGTTATTTTCCCTTGCAATTTTGATTTTTCCTTTTAAAAATCACACTTTTGTTACTTAAAAATATAGATAACACACATTCCAGGGGCCCCCGGGTGGCTCAGTTGGTTAAGTGCCGGACTCCGTGTCGGGCTCAGCCCTGGGCATGGAGCCTGCTTGAGCTTTTCTCTCTCCCTTTCCCTCTGCTCCTCCCCCCATCTCAAAAAAAAAAAGATCGTTAAAATTTTTTTT